TATCAATAAATTTGGTCAAAAATAAACATGTATCGATACATTGTCCAAATGAATTTAAAGTAAAGAGCACCCAAGGGAAAACGCATCAATACATTTCCTCATGTATCGATACATGGTTTGGCAGTGAGCATTCTACCTAAAATGTATCGATACATTACCTCAATGTACTGATACATTTACTCAAAATTAGAATAGATGTATCATTACATTTAACAATGTATCAATACATCACTAAGGAAAAGAAAAAAAAAAAAGGGATCCAGGCCATTTGACCATTTAAAACAAAACCCTTAACCTCTTTTTCTCTCTACCATCTTAAAACCCTAAAGCCCCAAATGAATTCTTAGAGCTAATCAGAGCTTGAGGAAATGTTATTGAGGTAAGATTAAATGTTTTTACCGATTATTTTTCAATTTGATCGGTTAGATTCTAAGAAATCTAATTTTTTCAGCTTTAGTGAATCTCTCTCAATCTGGCTAGAATTTAAAGCTAAGATTTGTGCAATCCAACTTACAAGGTATTGGTTTAACTCATTATTGAAGGATTTGAGGCTAAATGGTTGAAGTGCTAAGATTTGGTCAATTATGGAAAAGCTGACATTTTTCGAAAGCTAAGGATAATAAATATTTTCATGTTCTGATGTGTTTGATTGGGGAAATAGAGTTAAACCAACTTGTTGGCAAGATAGAGTTTGATTGGAGGCTAAGGATCAAAGCTTGGCTAGAAGTATCTCCAACTTGTTGGTAAGTGGGTTTAAATTAAAATGCATGTGATGTATGACGCCTTGATGAAGGCGTTACCATGGTATTAACATGTGTTTATGTATATATATATATGTATGTATGTATGTATGTATATATGTATGTATATATATGTATGTGTATATATATGTATATATATGATTGCCTATATGTAAGTACCTATGCTCGAGAACCAAACTATGGAATAGGTGTTTCTATGCTATGATGTGAGCCACATGGGTGGCTTGTGGTGTGTGTACCTAGACCAAGATATCTAGAGCCTGTAATGAACCTTAGGAGTAGATTTCCTTAGGTGAAGGATATGCTAAGAGAATTGGATCCAATGATACTTAGGAGATTTAGAGGCACTTAGAATCTAACCTAGCTTAAAGATGATTGAAGCTCAATAAATGTGAATTAAGGTTCGATAAGAAAAATGTGAATGACAGAAGCATAATGGCATTATTTGTGGATTTGTGTTTCCGTTTGAAGGATGATTTTTGGATGTTGATCTGATTTGTGGTTGAGTGGAGTTTCATTCCCTTGTGACTATGTGTGTGCCTGCAGGGATGATGGCAAGCAGGGACGGTGGCATTAATCTCGCCTATTATTCTAACTTGTAGTGCTTTGATACCATCCGTTGAGAATACTCTAGGTGATGTCGACCATCGAGAGATTGCTTTGATCAATGACTTTGATTATCCACTAGTTGTTTCGACAGTATACGTGATTTGTTCTTCGTTTGTTGCTTTGGCACGCGTGTGATCTGTTCTCCACCAATGACTTTGCCCTTAGCATGATTTGATTTTTCATCGGTTGGCCACCAAGCGTGATTTGACTGTGCCCGTAGAGGACCACTCGTTGATTTAATTTGTATATGACATGAGAAAGTCGTGGAAAAGCTTAGATAAATATTAGATGAACCCAAAGTGATGCTCTAGCAACTAGAATGTGCCATGAAGAATGATTTGAATAACTTTGATTGACTTCAAGAGTAAGCCTAATGATGTGTGATAACCTTTAGAGATGTTGAGTAGGTGATATGCCTTCACATTGGAGACTTTACGGATAATGATATGCTTTGTGTTTGGAAATGTTTGCTTAAATATCCAGATGCTAGGATAATGCATATATTTTATATATGTGCTTAATATATATGATTTTGTTTATCTGCACCATTCACTGAGTATTATAGTACTCGTCCATTTGTGTACCATGTGCAGATAAATAGGTCATAGAGTTGTGTGGTCAGGGTCGTCCAACGATAGACCAACTTTGGCATTTAGTTGGTCGCCATCCGTTATGTCAATCACGAGCTTCCACTCCGCACTTAGTATGTTGTGTATGTAGGCACAATGTGCTATATGAACTTATGTAACAGTTGTTATATACAAACCCACCTTAAACGGCCAATGTATGGCCTTATGAATGTTTGTATGGATTGTACACTACGGATAATGTATTTATGTTTGAATTATAATATGAATATTCAATTATTAAATCTCTTGGCATTTGTGTTATATAATTTTAGATTCTAAGGCTTGGTCGGGTTTAATGGGCTTACTTGTTGGGCACATGCATTGGTCACAAACCTCGGGTTGGGTCATGACATTTATTGTCATTCCTCTAAACTTTTCACCACACCTATGTCACCATCATAGTAAGGTCGTGTCCACCAAGTACATATCGACAATGTTGATTTGTAGAGCATCCTCTATGATGCCTATGGCTCGAATATATTGCTCTAGACTTTACAAGAATTTGTCCACCTCAATGGTCTTTTGCTTGCCTCAAAACTCTTTAGCCTTGGGCACCTCAAGTCGAGCTCTCATTTAGACAACTGGCACACCACCCCTTTGTGGTTAACTTGTATACAATGAGCTCATCCTTGAGCCTTCATATCTCGTGTCTCGACACCTCAACCAACTCCTTTAGTGTTGTGTCTCACTAGTTTAGTATCTCCATTAAGTAATTAAGTGTTGATTGCATCTACCCATGAAGCTCGTTGTCTCGAGTTCCCAACTCCTTTATGCTAGCTTCAATCTCTTTGAATTTGTCTTTTATTTCACTCATGACCACCTCCACCTTGGACGCTTGGCCATCTAGAGTGGACAACATGTCCCTTGAGCTTGACTTACCTTGCATGGCTACACCTTTGGCCTCCCTTATCTCTTAGGTGGGTATATATTGGTTAGTTGTAGAGCCATCTATCTCTTGGCAATGATGCCAACTTTCACATGCTAAAACTTTAGCTTAACTTCATGTGACTTTGAATCTTGAAATCCACTTCACACCAAGCCTAAGTCATCTTGGAAACCAAAATCAGATGAGAACTCAAGGTTCTTGAAGCAACACAATAGGCAGCAAAAAAGTAAGAGACAAAGAAAAAGAGAAGAAAGCTTGAGACAATGAGCTTTTATTCTCAAACATGGTGTGCTTTACAAATGAACATACGGTGATATTTATAGGTATGGCTAATTCCTAATTTATTTACAATTTAAATTTAAAATAAATTATTAAAGTGTTCGAATTTGAATGTTGATTGCATCTACATTATTTAAATTTGAATATCCACACTATATGCACTTAAATTTAAAATACATTAACTTATTTACACTAAAAAGGTGTCCAGACCCTTCCACCTTTCGGCGCATGAATGGATTGTGCTTCTTGTATGTCAAATTGTCAAGACAATCGATTGGCCTACTTAGGTTGTTGGTTTGCGTGGGTTGCTGGCCTCTCTAAACTACTAGCCCGCCTCTTTGCTGGCCTGCCTAGCTACTAAAGACTCGGCCCGTGATATAGGCATATATGCATAGTAATGTTGCGAAATGTATTTGCGGCAAAATTTTGTGTAATTTTTACTACAATTGTTATTTGTAGTAAATTAATACACTATAATACCTTTTATGTTTTGAATATTATAAAAGTTACTCCAAAAAAATTTTATGGCAAAATATTAGATTCATTACAAGGAGAACTGGGATATTCGTGGTGTGGATGACACGACGTACTCATGTTGATGTTTTCCCAATCTTCCTGTTTTTTTCTATTTTGGCAATCTGCACTTAACAAAATACCGGCAAACAAGGAAAAATTCTTATAACTTGTGTCGGTGGAGCTGCAGCCGCATTTAAGGATTTTGGTTGGCAATGGCACCGCACACATCCCATGCTACATCTGCATGGCTACAAAACGTGAAAGAGAGAAAACCGTGTTGCAAGCTTCACTACAACATAATAAAAATTATATTTGTTTTAACAAAAGAAAATATAGCATGGTATTGTTTGCTTTGGAGTATGTTTTGGTTGTTTTCTCCCCTCAAATTTGCTACGAGTTCATTATGCTTCTGGCTCAAAGCCTGCTGGTGAGGCAATGATTTTGAGAATATCTTTTAATTAATTTTCGCGAGTGAAGGCAAATATTTCAAAGCAAAGGGCAGCTCGCTTTGGTTGGTGAATTAGACAGCACCGAAGTCCTTGTCGCCACCAACCTCAATTCCTTTTCGTAGCAGTGCGGTTTGTTCTCTCCTGCGTTCCGGTATTCCAACATCTAAAGTCTCCTCAAGGTTCAAACTTCAAACTTCAAACTTCAAACTATATCTATATAATTATAAGGTCTTCCTTTCCTCTCGTTTTTTACCTTATTTTCAATGGAAGCTGAAGTCAAATACAATCCCAGGCTCGTCACCTACCGCCGTTGATCTGAATGCCATGAATAGTTGGGCATGAGGTCCTGTCTCTTTGAGACTAGGCCAAGCCCTTGGGCAGGTCTCTTAAATTCTTCCTGCACGGCCATATCCGTTGTGTGCATCCTGTTGTTTGTTGGCTCATGGATTGTGCGTTAACCATCTAGTGGAGTCTAAATTATTGCAATGAGTAAATTGAGAAGTCACCTTGACGGTTCAGATTTTCATACAAAAGGCTAAATGTTCACATTCACCTCTATCTATAATTTGTAATATATATATAT